TGCCACCATGGCAGATGATACTCACAAGAGACGCTGGTGGCATGCCAAAAAGCCACTGATCATCCCTGCTTTAAATGGCTAGAAAGGGAGGGAGGAAATGCAGAGGTGAGCTCCACCACAGTGGCACCAGGTGAAGCTTCCAGATGGACACTCCATCCACCACCACCCAGCAGCTTCCACTTAGATCCAGGTGAGTCATGTTCACTGTTCCCTGGACGCTCCGAAATACTCTGGAGGCTTCCGATGTCCATGCAGGGGGGGGGGGGAGAAATTCCCAAACGGAAGCATCTTAAAGATGCTACAGGTAGTGCGAGATGACAGCTGCCAGATCTTTGCAGTAACTCACCTTTGCAGTACCATGGGTGTGTGTGTGTGTCCAAATTTGATCATGACTGTGGCATGAGGAGAGGAAGGGCCTCACTCCTCCTCTTTGTGACACCTTCCTGACCCACTGGGGCTGTGGGAGGAGGGCTGCATATCCAGTACCACGGTGCATGAAACCCAACTCCAAATGGGCCAAACAACACCCATAGAGCTGTTTTGGATTTGAAAAACTCTTCTCTCCCCCATACTGCAGACCAGGGCTATTTTTGGGCAGGAACGCACAGGAACGGAGTTCCGGCTGGCTCCCGAGTTGGCCACGCCCAGCAGGAACTCATTAGCATAATAGGCCACACCCAACAGCAGGAACTCATTAGGATTGGCTACATTAGGGGTGTGTGGCCTAACATGCAAAGGAGTTCCTACTACAAAAAAGCCCTGGGTTTGGACAACAAACAAGGTAAACAGAATAAAAAGCAAAAGGTGGGTGTAGCTGGATAACCACACTTCTGGTAATATGGGAGTGCGGCCTAATGTGCTAATGGGCTGTGCTGTCAGGGGTGTGGCCCAATATGCTAATGAGTTCCTGTTGTTGGGTGTGGCCTATTATGCTAATGAGTTCCTGCTGGGCTTTTTCTACAAAAAGAGCCCTGCCAGACACACTCAGAATCTGGGCTGTGTGGAAATGAGTTCCCTTGGGAATTTTCTCTCTGGCTCCAAGTCCCCCACGGCAGCCTCACATTATGTGAATCGTCTCGCTTGGGCAGAAGATACTACTGAATTTCTTAGCTAGGTAAATATACCCACATGGAGGAAACCTATTCAAGGGAAAACAACATACATGAAATAAAGCTCCCAGATTTTTATTACCTGCTAGCATCCTAGCCAGATAGGATTTCCAGGTCTTACCAGACTGCCACCAAGGGGCTCCTGGCTTGTTCCTGGGGTCTTATGCTGTGATGACATCACCAGGAAGTGACCTCATCACACTAGGCATGTTGTACAGGGGACGCTCTAGCATTTGGGTAAAAACTTTATGGTCATCATGGAGTTTTTAACCAAATGTTAGCGTGTCCCTAGCACAATGATGTCACCTCCGGGTGATGTCATCGCGCCAGGCATGTCGGGCGCAGTGGGGCTCTTTGGGGGTGGGACTCCCCCTGCTGGCCAGCAGTAGATTGGGGCCCCCGAAATTGGGGAAAACCCCACCCCCACCGGAGGGTTGGTAACCCTTTAGCCAGAAACTAATTCTTGACATTGTTGTATTTGGAACTGAGCACAGCCTGGATGTCTTCACCCTCTGCCTTACATAACAGCCCAAAGGATTTTGACCCTCAGTCTCCATCAGGATGAACATCAACAGGGGATATGGGAGAGCTTTTCCTTTAGTTACCGCGGCAGTTGTGTATGTCTGGGGGACATGGAGGACATTCAGTGAAGTGGCTTGAATTGGGTCTCCAGGAATTTCCTGGAGTTGGCACCGGTAACACATGCAAGTACTTGCCAGGTCGCCCCTGCTTAGCTTCTGAGATCAGACAAGATCAGGTTTGCCTGGGGCATCCAGGTCAAGGCAGACGACAACATCTTGACTTCTATCTTAGCAAATCGAATGAAGGGTAGAATTGGTAGGTGCATATCACCTGACCAAACTGCCTTCACACCTGGTTGCCATATTACCACCAATATATGAAAAACTGTCAGTCTATTTGACGTTAAGAAAGATAAAATCAAGTTCGCTTTCCTGTTATTAGATGATGAAATGACATTTGATAGAGTGGAACACAGCTTTCTGATGGAATATCTGGTAGCATTTGGTTTTGGAAATAATTTTAAAAAGTGGGCAAATCTGATTTATTCACAGTGTTTTGCTAAGGTAAGCATAAATATCTATCTTCACAAATAGATATTACTAGAGGTGTATGTCAAGGATGTCCTCTCTCTCCTCTCCTGTTTACTCTTTCTTTAGAATCACTAGCGGTTTCAGTGAGAGAAGAACCAAAAATCCATGGCATTGAAATAGGAGGTATCCAATATAAAACTGGTCTCTATGTAGACAATATTTTCATTTTTAACAGACGTTGAACAATCCAGTAAAACACTAGAAAATCTTATACAAGAATGTTCTCAGGTATAAACTGAATCCAGATAAATAAGAGATTATCTGTCTTAATACAAATTTAAATGAATACAAAAAAAGATAACGGGATCTGGGATATGAAGATTACTGACCAAATTAGGTTTCTTGGTATGTGGTTAAATAAGAATAATGATGGATTTTTAAAGATCAATTGTGATCCAGTAACAGCTGAAATTTAAAAAACCCCCACCAGTTTCAACTTGGGAAACCTTAAATTTATCTTTCCTTGGACATGTAAACGCACAAAAAAAAATGACGATTCTTCCAAAATTATTATTATTGATTTGGTAATCTCCTGACTGAATTTCCAGAACAGAGTTAAAAGTGTGGTAGCTATTATTAAATGTCTTCATCTGGGATAAAAAGAAATCTAGGATATGATGCAGCAGCATGTATGATAAAAAATTAAATGGTGGCTTGGAGATACCCAATCTATATATACTACCAAGCTGCCAGAGTAAAATGGTTGAAAGACTGGCTATAAAGGAATGCTGAAAATACACCAGACTTTATAGAACAATCTTCTGTAAGGATACCCCTGAAAAGCTGGCCTTAGATGAGGAAAGAAAATAGGAAGAAATACTATAACAATAATACCATCATAAATGCAATACTCAATGTATGGGATCAAGTTAAAAATAAATTGTCACCAAGATTTTCTCTCTTAGCATCTGTTATTAGTGATATGATTGATGAGATGAGCCTGGAATTTCTCCCTTTGAGAAGGTAGGAATTTTCAAGATTTAATGATGACAGAAACTTGATAACTGACAACCAAGTAATCCCGTATAGTGATATTAAAGAACCTAGTATTTCAGTATTTTAATATCTCCGTCAGAGGCAACCTTTGCGAACTGAAACCAAAGATGCTAATTTAAGACCTATAACAAAGTTTGAGGAACTGCTTTTAGCAGATGATAAAAGTTTTATTTCCAGTAGGTATTCTTGTTTATTGAAAATGACGCTCAAACCTGATCAAAACTTTTGCAGTAGGTGGCAAAAAAAAATATGTACGTAACAATTTCAATGATTCAACATGGAAATTTATCTTCACTCATGGTACTACCTTTACAGTTTGCCTCTCTTTTAGAGAAAACCTGTTGAAAATGATTTACAGCTGGCATCTAACTCCTTTAAAGAGTTGGCAAAGATCTATAAGACTGGTACCAGCAGCATATGGTTCTGTAAAGAAGAGAAGGCAGATTTCTTTCACATGTGGTGGACATGTATACATGCCTCCTGCTATTGGAAATAAGTGGTGAAAATTGTATCACTTGGGTTGGAAAAAACAAATCCCCCATAAACCAGAGACATTGTTGCTGAATTACCTACCTGATTATCCCTAGAGATCAGCAAATACATATGATTACATATGATTACTGCTGCAAGGCTGGTTTTTGTTAAGGCAATTTTAAAAAATCCCTAAATTGCAAGATTGCTTGTTGAAAATAAAGGAGATCTGTACTTTAGTGAAATTAACAGCTTATCAGAAAAATAGAGATACATACAGAGTAGACTTTTTATGGTCAAGAGCAATACAAAGAATGGAACTGACGATTGTATAATTGGAAATAGTATTGTCAGTGGCTGGTGAAGGGTTTTCTACGTCCATGGGGGCAGGACGGATGAGGATTTAGACTGGCAACGTATCTTATGAGCATTTTGTATGTTAGCCGCCCTGAGCCCGCTTGCGGGATGGGCGGGGTACAAATATAATAAATAAATAAAATAAAATAAATTGTATTTTTTGCATGTATCTGTAATTTGTTTATTTTAATAAAATATGAAAAAAAACCTTTCTGGTGGCCAAGTAAGCATCATCAAGCAGGAAATCTTTGTAACATACGAATAACTCCTGTGAGAGTGACTGACCAAAGGTCACCCAGAAAGTTTCATGGCAAGTGACAATTAGAATTAATTTGCATGTTTCCCAAAGGATCATGGGAATGCTTTTGAAAGAGTCACCATGACCTAGGACTGGGCCAGCAGACAGGGGGATTGTTGGATGTATTGAAGTTGCCACTCTTGAGTGTTCTTCTAAGCTTTCTTGTCCTGTGGAAGGGAACTCAAAAGGCATTTAAATGCCTTTGGAGCTATCATTTCCCAGGTCCCATGATGCCCCCCAAGGATTCCAGTGGGAGGAAGAAGGAAACCCAAGGCCACAGTGCCACTGCCTGCCAGGGTCTCTCCTCAAAAATAAGGTTTCTACACACACACACACACACACACATACACTAATACTCCCTCAAATACGATTTCTTGTATGTGGTGCGGGGCCCCAAAACGCTCCACTGTACTACGGGCCTGATTGTATATAGCCAGTATTGCATTGATGCTAAAATATGTTCTCCACCAACTGGGATGCAATGTATCCCTGTGTGCTAAGTATGTAGACATACTACCCTCCTGGTCTCTGTAACACACAAACACACAATGTGGTGAACATATCTCACCTGAACGGGATCTTCGCTTTCGTTTGCCTTCCAAATGGACCTTCTGGTGAGTCACAAGACGTGGGCGCTGAGAAAAACACTTCCCACACTCAGGGCATTTATAAGGTTTCTCTCCTGTGTGAATTCTACGGTGAGTCACAAGGTTTGGCCTGTACGCATAACACTTCCCACATTCCAAGCATTTGTAAGGTTTCTCTCCGGTGTGGACTCTTTGATGGCTAACAAGGAGTGATTTATGAGCAAAACATTTTCCACACTCTGAACATTTACATGGTTTCTCTCCTGTGTGGATGGTCTGGTGAATCGCAAGGTGGGGCCGTTGAGCAAAACATTTCCCACAATCAAGGCACTGGAAAGGTTTTTCTCCTGTGTGGACTCTCCTATGAGTTGCTAGAGTTGAGTGTTGAGCAAAGCACTTCCCACATTCCAGGCATTTATAGGGTTTCTCTCCTGTGTGGACCCTTCGGTGTGTTGACAAACTGGATTGGCGAGCAAAACTTCTCCCACACTCTAAGCACTTATAAGGTTTCTCTCCAGTGTGAACTGTCTGATGTTTCACATATGCTGAACGGTGAGCGAAACATTTTCCACATTCTGAGCATTTATAAGGTTTCTCTCCAGTGTGGATTCTCGTGTGCTGTTGCAGGTCTGACTGGTGAGCAAAACATTTCCCACACTGCAAGCACTCATAAGGTTTTTCTCCTGTGTGGGATCTCTGGTGTTTCACAAAGCCTGCATGATAAGAAAAATATTTCCCACACTTGATACACTCATAGGGCTTTTCCCCTGTGTGCACCCTCTGGTGTATCACTAAACTGAATTGTTGTGCGAAACATTTGCCACACTGTGAACATTCATATGGTTTCTCCCCTGTGTGGATCCTCTGGTGTGTCACCAAGTTTGACTGCTGAACAAAACATTTTCCACACTCTGAGCATTCATAAGGTTTCTCTCCTGTGTGAACTCTTGCATGAATCACAAGGTAAGAGATATCAGCAAAATATTTCCCACACACTGTGCATTTACAGCTTCTTTCTCCTGTGTGAGTTGTCCGATGTTTTGCAAGATGGGACTGGTGAACAAAGCACTTTCCACACTCTAAACATTTATAGGGTTTCTCTCCACTATGGATTCTCTTATGTACCAACAAAGCTGAGCTGTACGCAAAACATTTTCCACACTCCATGCATTTGTAGGGTTTCTCTCCAGTGTGGATTTTCTTATGGCTCATGAGGTGAGGCTGTTGAGAAAAACATTTCCCACACTCAGAGCATTTATAGGGTTTTTCTCCAGTGTGGACCCTCTGGTGTTTCCTGAGGTATGATGGGCGGGCAAAACATTTACTGCATTTCAAGCATTGATAGGGTTTCTCTCCCCCATGGACAGTCCGGTGTTTCACAAAATCTGAGGGGTGAGCAAAACATTTTCCACACTCCAGACATTTATAGGGTTTCTCTCCAGTGTGGATTCTCTTATGTACCAAGAAAGATGAGCTGTATGCAAAACATTTTCCACACTCCGTGCATTTGTAGGGTTTCTCTCCTGTGTGAACTCTCTGATGTCTCATTAGGTAAAATTGTTGAGAAAACCATTTTCCACATGCGGAGCATTTATAAGGTTTTTCTCCAGTGTGGACCCTCTGGTGTTTCATGAGGCATGATGGGCGGGAAAAACATTTATTGCATTTCAAGCATTGATAGGGTTTCTGTCTCCCATGTTTCACAAACCGTGAGTAGTGAACAAAACATTTTCCACACTCTAGACATTTATAGGGTTTCTCTCCTGCGTGGTTTTTGTTATGGCTCATGAGGTGAGGCTGTTGAGAAAATTGCTTCCCACATTCCAAACGTTTATAGAGTTTCTCTCCTGTGTGGCTCCTGTTGTGGCTCCAAAGGTGTGACTGGCGAGCAAACCGTTTCCCACACTTCAAGCACTTATACAGTTTATGTCTCAGGTGGACTCGGCGGTGTCTGGCAAGATTCAGTTTCTGAGTAAAACATTTCCCACACACGTGGCACATGTTTTTCCCTTCAAACTCATTTCCTAGATAAAAGGTAAACAGATGAGAAACTCAAACACAAAAAGAAGATTGGTGGAGGAGAAACATCTGCACACATGTAGACATTGCTAGTTACTTTTGGAGTTTCTTACATCTCATATTTTTTATAAACCACCAGTTTTACAGAAACGTATACCATAGCCCTACTTGTGGTATTTTAAAATTTGTACAATAGAGCCATTCAGCACTATTAGATATACAATGCTTGGTGGGAAACTGTTGCTACACCAACATATTTATTTAGAAATATCTATTATAATTTCCCAAAGGCCTGCTTGAGGTGTCCTGCAACTAAAACCAAACCATTACAACAGCCATTAAAAAACCCCAAAGGTATTAAAAACAAGCCAGGCCATTAAAATGACATAGAACAAACACTGAACATCCCAAAATATTAAACAGTCCTCAGTGCAGAATACCAAAAAACAGCTAAAAAAGATATGAACTCCTTAAGTAACATACCGAGGCAAAAGAGGAGAACTTCAACAGTTAACTCAGAAATCACTGGTTGAGAGGCAGGGGTATACTTTAAAAAAATATTAATGAACGAATATATTTCTCAAAAACCTAGTGTTCTACATGAAACATGGAGCTGCGGTGGCTCAAGTGGTTAAGACGCTGAACTGCAGGCTGTGGAAGGTTAGTAGTTCAGCAGTTCGAGACCCGGGTGCTGCATGACGGAGTGAGCTCCCATTTCTAGTTCCAGCTCCTGCCAACCTAGCAGTTCGAAAGCAAGAAATTGCAAGTAGATAAATAGGTACCACTTTGGTGGGAAGGTAACAGTGTTCCGTGCGCCTTGGTGTTTAGTCATGCCGGC